AGGATTATTTTAATAGATGTAGGAAAAAAGCTTTTAACAAAATGCGATATATATTCCTGTTAAAAAAAATTAGAAAGCAAGGGTGTAAATAGAGCTTTCCTTAAAATTATAAGTATTTAAAATCAAAAGACAACATTATCTGTAATGAAGATAAGCTAGAAACATTTCCAATAAGATCAGGATTAAGGAAAATTTTCCATTATCACCATTATTATTCAACATTGTACTAGAAATGCTGGTGACAGCAATTAAGTAAACAAACATAAAAAGAAATCAAAAGAATGAGCAGAGGTAATGAAGAAACAAGACTATCACTGTTTGCAGATGATATGATGGTCTATTTAGAGAGCTCCAGAGAGTCAACCAAAAAACTAATGGAGACAACAATTTTTTGCAAAGCTATAGAATAGGAAATAAACCCACATAAATCTGTCAGTATTTCTGTATATTACCAGCAAAACCCAGCAGGTAGAGATAGTAAGAGAAATTCCATTTAAAATAACTCCAGGCTGCATAAAATACTCTACTGTCAAGATACGCACAGAAACTATATGAACACAATTTATCTACTTTTTAATAAAATTATTTATTTATTTTTCATTTTCAACATTCACTTCCATAAGATTTTGAATTCCAAATTTTCTCCCCATCTCTCCCCTCCTCCCACCCCAAGATGGTGTGTACTTTGATATAGGCTCAACATTTACATTCATATTAAACTTATTTTCACATTAGTTATGTTGTAAAGAAGAATTCACATCAGTGGGAGAAACCACAAGAAAGATGAAACAAACAAACAAAAAAAGACAGAAAGCAAATAACATGCTTCAATCTGCATTCAGACTCCATAGTTCTTTTTCTAGATGTGCACAGCATTTTCCCTCATGAATCTTTTGGAGCTGTCTTGATAAGTCTATCAAAGTTAGTCATCACACAATGTGGCTGTTACTGTCCTCCTGGTTCTGCTTACTTCACTCACCACCAGTTCATATAAGTCTGTCCAGGTTTTTCTGAAGTTTGCCTGCTCATCATTTCTTATAGCACAATAGTATTCCATTACATTCACACACCACACCTTGTTCAGTCATACCCCAACTGATGGGCATCCCCTCAATTTCCAATTCTTTGCCACCACAAAAAGAAGTGCTGTAAATATTTTTGTACATGTGGGTCCTTTTCTCACTTTTATGATCTCTTTGAGATACAGACCTTGAAGTGGTGTTGTTGGGTCAGAGGATATACACAGTTTTATAGCCCTTTGGACATAGTTCCAAATTGCTTTCCAGAATGGTCGGATCAGTTCACAACTCCACCAACAATGTATTAGTGTTCCAATTTTCCCACATCTTTTCCAGCATTTATCATTTTCCTGTTTTGTCATGTTAGCCAATCTGATAGGTGTGATGTGGTATGTCAGAGTTGTTTTGATTTGCATTTCTCTAATCAATAGTGATTTAGAGCATTTTTTTCATATGACTATAGATAGCTTTAATTTCTTCATCTGAAAATTGCCTGATAAACACAATTTAAAAACACCAACTTATACAAATAAAGATAGATCTAAACAATTAGAGACATATTAATTGCTCATGGGAAAACAGAACCAAGACAATAAAAATTATAATACTTCCTAAATTAATTTTATCAGTGCCGTATCAATCAAGCCATCAAAGGACTATTTTATAGAGTTAGAAAAAATAATAAAATTCATCGGTAAGAACAAAAAGTCAAGCAGGATTGGAACTCATCAATTCTCAACTATAAGTCCAGCATTCTATCCATTGTGCCACCCGTCCTCCTCTAGACTGACCTTTCCTTAAGGGGAAAAAGTGTTGAGCTGGAGTCCTCTCTCCACCCACTCTGATACTTGGATACTTTAAGGCTTTAGCTTTCTAAAAGAATGAAAGAAAATGGCAAGCAGGGTGTTAAGGTACAAGAATGAAGGTGGAGCCTGGTCATCCATCCATGAGGAAGACCTAGCACTTCAGCCAAAACTCTTATTGGGCCACAATCTGGAAGCCCAGAAAAGCTCTAAAACTTCATTACCAGTGAGGCATTGTCTAGCAGTGACCAGAAGAAACTCTGGGGTCAGCTAAGAACTGCTGAAGAGGAGCCATGGAAAACCAGCAGGGAGCAATGTCCAACCTAGACTGGATATTCGGTAGAGATCACATGGTACTTGGCACCAACAGGGATCAAAGGCCTTCCAAGGACACAGATCTGCCTAAGACAGTTGAAGGGCAGCAAAATAATCTCAGAAGAAGAAATTGACTGGGCTCAGATTCTTAAAATCTAGCCACTGCTCAGATTCTTATAATCTAGCCAATAGCTCACTAACATTCAGACTCCTTGAGAGCGGATCTTTAATAAACCTTGTCTTTGGTTGAAAAAAAAAGAAGCAGAAAAAATTAGCTGCCCCAAAGCACTGAGACATGAGTTGCCCCTCCATTCTTGTGTCTGGGTCTCAAATGCTTCCTACATATGCACCTCTACAACTATATACTTATATTCTTATTTGTCTTATCTAGGTCCACTTTTCTCCACAGATGGCATTTGTGTGTGTGTGTATATATGTATTTGCAGGACTGTGGACCTGGGCTTCTAGGGGAAATGTTTTATTTCTACTAATTAAATCCTTCTGATTTGAATTAATTGTGTCCTCTGGCTGACTAGCAAGGTAAATGCATGGGTGGGGGCTCAGAAGTTATGGTTTTTAGTGGATTAGGAATCATAAACTATCTTGAACCTGGTGTAGCTTTGCCTGAGGAATCCACCTACAAGTTGAGGGTGCCTCCCCAGTTGCCACAATAGTGAAAGGGAGGTTAGACATGGGAGAGTAGCTTGAGGAGGTTAAAGGGTTTTGAAAGTGGATTTTGAGGAGAACACTGATTACATTTCATCCTGTATTTGTTTTGTTTCTTTTTCTTTCTCTGTTATATTTATTTGGCATAAACTGTCTCTTTCAATATCTTCCTTCCAGCAGACTACAAAAGAAAACTCAGAAGACTTCCATAGTTCAAGGAAGTCACAGCTTTTCTCTGTCCTCTCTGATAAAGTACCTTCTATATGTTAAGCAAGGCTTATCAAATGCCAAGTGGCTGACTGATAAAGAAGGTACTATTTCCTTTGATCTGGTATGAATGGCTATGATAACAAGGGCATATTCTCTCAGTCCCAATTTGAGCATCTTTTTTGTTTGTTGTAATAAGTACCTTTTCTTGCTTATGTGCTGTGCCTGCTCTTACCAAAACTGCTTTGTCAGAAACACATCTCTTTTGCTACTCTCTCTGGGTCAGGTAGCTCAGGAGGAAAGAATATATACATATACAAACACATGTGTATAACATACCTACATATATATGTCATCTGTGGAATGATGTGACATATATGTCCATCACCTACTGATGGTGTGTGTCATGTTCTTGAGTGAATTAACCGCATTTTCCCTGTCTCTATCCTATGCTGCTTATTTGGGTGGTAGCTAGTAAGAACTCCGAAAATTCTTGCCTAGCTTTTTAACGCTAGGAGAAGTGTGACCATGTTGGCACTTTGGGCCCATGAAAGGGGCCAGTAGAAAGAGTAGATAGGGGATGAAAGCAGAAGTGACCATGAATAGACTGAAATCTCAGAAATGGATAAAGGGAATGGTATGGATGGTACAATGGGAGAACTTTGTTTGGGCAAAGATAATGGAGGATCAATTTCATTCTCTGAGACAGGAAAGGTTTTGAGGTATTTTGAGACGCAGGGAAAATTAGGAAGCTCATACAACATCTAGTTCAGGGGTGGGGAACCTGAAGCCTCCAGCCGCACCCCTACCCCTGATCTAGTCTCTCAATCTGCTGTGGTCTGGGTCAGGGAAAGAGAAGGAAGAGCAGGTCATGTAGAAGGGATTATGGGTACAAGAACCCAGAAACCCAAGCTCCTCATAGGGGTAAGTGAGGAGATGAAGAATTAGAACACTGATATTTTTGTAGGGAGTGTGTTGCGTGTGGGGGCGGGGGTGGGGGTGGGGAGGGAATTCCTTCCCCACTCATCTCCATTTCTCAACGTTGTGATCTTTTTTCAAAGCGCGAGCCCAGGGACCACCTCATCCGTGAAGGCTTCCCAGAGCCACCGGGTGTTGACCACTCCATTCTTTGTCAAATTATCTTTTACTAATTTATGTTACTGGTATCCCTTGAGAGACTTGAAGATCCCCGTGGACAGGGAGGGATGTTTCGTTTTTGTCTTTGTAAATCTAGTGCCTTAACATGGTGTCTTACACGTAAGACACAGCCTCGACAAACGCCATTGACCTGATCTTCTGTTTGGCATTCATGCCCTTTCCACGCTTAATTAATACGAGCTACTCTCCTCACATTCTAGAATGTGGCCCAACTGGACTTCTTACTGCGCCTTGTATCCGAAATTCCATTTCCCTTCTTCCGTGCCTTTGTACCGGCTGTCCCGCATGCCCGGTAGACTCCCCTTCCTCACCTTCACCTTTCAGAAGCCCCAGCTTCCTTCACCGTTCAGATCAGGGACCACTTTAGCCTTTGCTGATGTGCCCCTGCCCCTACTCATTACCTTGTATACATTTGGTAGAAAGCCATTAAGCACTTATTAAACTCCTACTAGGAGCCTGGCACTGTGCTCAACTCTGCGATCCGCGCTCTCAGATTGCTTGTACAGATAGCGCTGTTACGTGGACGTGTCTCGCCCTCAGAATGGAAGCTCTTTGAGGTGAGGGTTTCACCTAAGTCTTTGCCTATCCATCCTCTAACAAAAGGCACTTACGAACCTTTGTTGATTGGTTGATTAATTGAAGCTGGTGTCCCTCAGTGAGGCTGACTGAGAATCTGGGGGCGGGGGCGGAGTGGGGACTAAATCTTCCACAGGCCCCACCCCTGCGCCTACTTCGGCTCCTGCTCCCAACGTGCCCGCGGAGGGATTCCAGTCTATCCCTTTCTTCCGGGCTGCAGGTGGAGATCAGCTAGAGAAGAGACCTGTTTTCCAAGATGGATCAGTGGCGAGAGAGGGCGGGGTCCGCAGGGTGAGCGAAGTCCGAGAAAAACAAAGACCGGGAGACTTAACAGAATCAGAGATGAGGGTCAGAGATCTTCCGAGGCAGAATGACCGGAGGGGCTCTGGGTGTGGGATATAGAACTGACCTGGGTTGAGGTCCTGGGACCTGGGTTCCAGTCCTGTTCTGCCCTCAACTCCCTCAGGTACCTACATTCAATCAGTGTATTTATTAAGCACCTACTGTGTGCCAGGCACTGAACCAGGTACTGGGATCCCAATACGGTAAATGAAACAGTCCTTACTGAAAAGAGGTTGGTCAGTTCCTTGTCTCTGGACTTCAGTTTTCCCATTTGTAGAATGGGGGTGGGGAGAAGGGTGCAGGTTAAATTCAATGCTGTCTAAGGACCCTGCCAGCTCTGACATTCCATGCTCTATGTCTTAAGATTGTGGTTCTGCAGATCCGTTCAAAGGTTCTGAAAGGTGAAAGTGATTCCCATAATAATGACAAGATGTCTTAATTTCCAGTGTGGTAAATATTGATAGATGTAACCCACATAAACAAAAGCGCGCACGCGTGCGGTGCATGTGGTCTTCAGGGTCCTGAGAACTGCTGTTCTAAGGTTCCCTCTAGCTCTGACATCCCACATTCTAAGTTTCTCCCAGTTCTGTATTAGGAATCTTATCTAGTGATAGAAAGAGACTCAGACAATGAGAGGATGAATGGGCATATCTGGGGCAGCAGTAAGGCTAGCATGACTTTCTCCCTTCCTTGATGGCGATAGTCTGACCTCTGGCCATCTCTTCTTGCAGGACTGGCCTGTCTGAGCCCCAGAAGTCACCAGCCTCCATCCCGGCCCCCCAGCCCCTGGCCCTGAGCCAGGTGGGGCCTGGAACAGTGATGGCAGCGGGTCTGGGCTGCCCCAGCTTCCTGAAGGCATGGCTGCTCTCACCATTCCCATCCGACTGGATGCCCTCTCCTACCTTCTCCACAGCGCCCTGCTTGGGGCCTACAGCCTGAGGCCCAGCCCCACCCTTTGTCCTTGCCACCCTAATCCTTGTTGTGCCCGGCCACCAGCCTCGGATCAGCCAGTGGCCCAGGATACCCCCAAACAGCACTGGGCCAGAAGCCAGAGCCAGAGGGAAGCTCTTTGGCGGGGGGAGGTGGGGCCCTCAAGGGGCAGAGAGCTGGGAGCCCCTGTGGGCACCGCCAAGCAGAACCGCAGGGTGCGCCCTTCACCCACGCGACCTCTTGTTAAGGACCAGGGGGGTGAGTACCAGCGCCGAAGACCTCCTGCTCCTCCGCCAAAATCCAAGGAGTGGGAGAGCAGGTACCACCGTGGAAGAGCTGTTGTCGCCTCCACCCTGCCACCGCCAGAGGGGTGGGAGAGAGAATCCCAGCCCTGCAGGCCCCCTGCCCCTCCCCCACAGCCCACAGAGGACTGTGATGGCAGGTACCAGCATCAGCGGGCCTCAGCTCCCCCCACCACCCTGCCTGCTGAGGACTGGGAGAGTGAGTACCGGGGAGTCCAGAGTCTCCAAGATGCCACCTTGGTCTGCCCTGAGAATGTGCTCCTGGACCCTGGGAACGAGGAGAGCAGCCCAGATGCTCAGGCCTCCCAACCCTAAGCAGACAGCACCTTCCCAGCATCTGGAGTGCTTTCCCAGTGTCTGGACCACCTTCCCAGTTTTGTGTGTGGCCTTTGAAGGGTGTAGTTGCTCTCCTCTGGAAACCCAGCTGGAAAGCAGACCTGGATATCCCAGCCCTAAATCCATCCCATCTCCCACCACACTCCCACCCACACAGCCACAACCTTATTCCTACCTTCATTCTCATTTCCCACACTCACTTGCATCCCCGCCTCTGACCCTGACTGAGGTCTCCAGGTTCCCACAACGAAGACTGGGTCTCCATCCCCCATTTGTCCAGCAGGTCTGGGCATCTGGCGGTCCCTTCTTTGCCCCAAGTTTCTCATCACAATAGGCACTCTAATTCCTATTCTGGCCCCCAGTAAAGACCCTGAGCATTTTAATCCCCATCACTGCCCCCTCACCCCAATCCCTTAGCTCTTAATCCTGTAGAAACCCAAGCATCCTGGTCTCCCAGTCCATTAATAAAAATGTTCTGATCAGTCATTTCTGTGTCCTCGGTCTCCAGTCTTGACAACAGAGGCTTAACCAAGAAAGGGGAATATTCCGGAGCTGGGAGGGGCCAGGTAACTATGGGGGTCACAAATCAGCTGAGGGAGATCAAAGGAGAGGGCAGGGGAGACCCTGAGGAGCTGGGTGCGGGGAGCCTACCCTTTCCCCCAAATCAGTTATGTCAGCAACTCCCATTTAGGGCGTGCTTCGCCAACTCAGCAACTATAGAGACTAGAAGCTACTGGTGCCTGGGCCTATTGTCCTCAGGGGTTAAGGGATTTGGGGGCACCAGGGGAGGGCATTCAGGAAGGGCTGGGGCCGGGCTGGGCTGGGATTCAGTCTGCGCCAGGGGGACGTGATCATCGGAGGGCTCGGCACCATCTCTGCGACCAAGGTAGGGAGCCAGGCATCAGCTCCTATGCTAGGAGACTGCTAAGATCCCCATCCCAATCCCCAGCAGGGCCCAAGGACCCTGAATTCCCAGCTCCTGCTCCCTCAGGGACTCACATCCCCAATCCCACCACCGCCACCATCTTGGGGATCCAAGCATCTGTCCTGCTTCCTTGGGGGCTGCCAAGATAATTGATTCTCCTGACAATATAACCCTAGGGGTCTGCACCTCCCTAGCCCCAACCCCTGAAGGATGCAGGTATCCACATTCCTTCCCCCGGAGATCCAGGTGTCTTACATCTTTGGACCCCCAGAGACACCAAGGTATCTAGCTCAATAGCTCATGTGTCCAGGGGACCTAGAACCCAGGCATCCTGATGCCCCAGCCTCTGCCCCTCCCCTGCCCCTGCCCCCTAGTGACCCAAACCTACTGGTTCCACCACTCCCACCCCCTCAAGGACTCAGATAATTAGACCCTCTCCAGGATTTGTTGTCTCCATACCTTCTGGGACACTCCGATGGCCAGCCCCGCCTCCTCCCAACCCAGAACATTCAGGTTTTGGTGAACCTGGTGTCTCCATTCCTTCCGTTCTTACCTCTCTAAAGGTCCAGACATCCAAACCTCTGCTACTAAACTGTGAGACGCAGAGTGGGTCTACCAGCAGACCCTCAAAAGCAGGTCTACAAGGACCCTGGCATTCTCAGGACATAAAATCCCCAGCTCCCACCTTCTGAACCACCCCCAAAAACCCAGGCATGCAGCTTCTGCCCTTTGGGTGATGCACGCCTCCTGTGCTTTCAAGGTCCCCAGTGCCTCCAAGGCAGGGATTAGTCCCGAGGCCAAGCACCTGATCTCTGCAGCTACCTCACCTCTCCTCTTCCTCTTCCCATCCCACTCCCCCCTCTCAGGACACCATGTACAGCTTCATGGGCGGGGGCCTCTTCTGTGCCTGGGTGGGCAACATCCTCCTCGTGGTTGCCACAGCTACAGACCATTGGATGCAGTACCGGCTGTCTGGGGCTTTCGCCCACCAGGGTCTGTGGCGCTACTGCCTCAGCAACAAATGCTATCTGCAGACTGAGAGCATCGGTAAGAGGGCTGGGGTTGGTAAGGTGAGGGCGTCCACCTCTGGGACCCAGGCAAAAGGCTGCTGGGACAGCGGGCTTGGCCCCAACTGAATAGAGCAGGCCGGGCAGGCACCAGAGAACACCAGAGTGGGTGGACAAGTACAGAGTCTGGGGGGATTCACAGATATGCAGATCATTAGAACTGGGTGCTCTTGGAGCATCTCAGATCTAGGAGGAATCCCGGAACATAATGTCAAAGCTGGGAGTATCCTTAAAACAGAAAACGTCAGGAATGAGGGCAACCTTAGAACAGGGAGTGTCAGGGATGGGAGGGTCTTTAGAACAGGGAATGTCAGGAATGAGGGGAACCTTAGAACAGGGAATGTCAGGAATGAGGGGAACCTTAGAACAGGGAGTGTCAGGGACAGGAGGGTCCTTAGAACAGGGAGTGTCAGGGATGGGAGGGTCTTTAGAACAGGGAATGTCAGGAATGAGGGGAACCTTAGAACAGGGAATGTCAGGGATGGGAGGGTCTTTAGAACAGGGAATGTCAGGAATGAGGGGAACCTTAGAACAGGGAATGTCAGGAATGAGGGGAACCTTAGAACAGGGAATGTCAGGGATGGGAGGGTCCTTAGAACAGAATGTCAGGTGAGGGAACTTAGAACAGGAATGTCAGGAATGAGGGGAACTTAGAACAGGGAATGTCAGGAATGAGGGGAACCTTAGAACAGGGAATGTCAGGAATGAGGGGAACCTTAGGACAGGGAATGTCAGGGATGGGAGGGTCCTTAGAACAGGGAATGTCAGGAATGAGGGGAACCTTAGGACAGGGAATGTCAGAGCTGGGAGGGCCCTTAGAACAGACAACGAAACCTAGAACTGAGAGGAACCTCAGAGACTATTGGGTCCAGTCTTTTCACATGAAGCAACAGTTTAGCTAAAAGGGAGGCTGGAGCCAAGAAAGCCTAGCTCTGGCTCAGACAGTCGCTGGTTGTGCGGGCTCAGAAAAGTACTTCTGTCCTCTGGACCTCTGTAAAGCTGCTCCCATCCCCCACCGCTTTGGGAGTCAAAAGCTCTGAAAACTTCGCTTGTTCCTGCTCACGCCCTTGCACTGGGTAGATCCGTCCCCAGCTGCCAGACCGCTTTCCTCAGACACAGGTGTCACTGCGCGCTGCTCCTGCTCACAGGGCTGCGGACTGCGCTAGATGCCTATTGCGTCTAGAAGGTAGAGCAAATTCCTCCATTTGCCACTTCAAACCTTCCGCGCCCTGCGGCCAACCCAGCTTTCCCGGGTAATTTCACATAGTTCCACTCCAACCCTCGCCATTCCTGCCAAGCTGCATGTCTCCATCCAGGACATGACCTCTCTCATCAAACTGGCCCAAGCTGCCCCGAGTGCCTTGAGAACACACCGGCCTTATCTGCAGGCTCCTTATCCTGATTGTCCCCCTCCCCCTGCCTCCCTCCCCTCTCCCAGAACCTTCGGATATAGTGGTGCAGTGGAAAGAGCAATAGGCCTGGAGTCAGGAAGACCTGAGTTCAAATGTGAACTCAAGCACTTACTAGCTGTGTGACCCTGGGCAAGTCACTTAACTTCTGTCTACCTGAGTTTCCTCATCTATAAAATGGAGATAATAATAATGACCTACAGTGTTGCAGTGATGTAATATTTGCATAGTGTTTAACATAGTACCAGGCACACAGTAGATGCTTAATAAATTCTTGTTTTCATCCCTTCCTTCCTTTCTCTCTTTCTTTCTTTTCCTTCCTTCCTTTTTCCTTCCTTCCTTTCTCTTCCTTCTTTCCTTCTTTTCTTTTCCTTTTTTCTTTCTTTCCTTTTTTCTTTCTTTCTTTCTTTTTTCTTTCTTTCTTTCTTTCTTTCTTTCTTTCTTTCTCTTCATTTTTCTTTTTTCTTCCCAACACATTAAATCCACCCTCAAATTTTCCTGAAATATTTGGCATATATCTCTGCGTATGTATATACCACCATCACAATCTCCTTTGTAGCCTGGTTATTCATGTACATTAAATTAATGATTACAGAATTGATGGAGAGATGGAGATGCAGATAAAAACCAGGATGAAGAAATAAAGAATGATAAACAGATCTAGGAAGACTGACAGCCAAGAAGAAATAGAAACAGGGATAGAATGGTAATAAAAAGGAAGAGATAGATATAGCAACAGAAACCAGAACATCGAGGTAGAGATAGGGGAACAAAGAGATATAGAAACAGACAGGAGGGAGGCAGGATGTGGAAACAGAGAGACAGAGACTGAGAGATAAGGAGGGAGGGATGCAGAAATAATGAAGACAGTTGTAGACATAAATAGAGAAATCAAGCAATGGGGAAACAGAAAAGAGAGACAGAGACAGAGAGAGAGAAAAAAAGAGGGGAGAGAGAGAAAGAAGAAAAAGGAGGAGGAGGAAAAGAAGTAGAGAAAGAAATGGGAGGTGGGAGGTCAGGAAAAAAAAGGAGGGAAGACAGAGGAAGAGACAGAGACAGAGAGATGAGGAGAGAGGCAGAAATAAACCAAGACAGGTTGCAGACACAAACAGATAAATCAAGCAATGGAGCTGGGTGGGGGAAGGCAGGCAGAGAGAGACAGACACAGAGACACAGAAAGGGACAATGAGACAGACACAGACACAGACAGAGAGAGAGAAAAGGAGAGAGAAGAAAGAGGGAGAAAGAGAAGGAAAGGAAGAGGAGGAGGAGAATAAAAGAAGAAGAGGAAGAAGAAGAAGAAAAGAAGAAGAAAAGAGGAAGAAGAAAAGAAGAAGGAAGAGGAGGAGGAGGAGGAAAGGAGGGAGAGAAAGGAATGGGAGGTGGGAGAATGAGAAAGGAAAGGAAGGAGGGAAGAGAAAGGAAGAGACAGAGACAGAGATGGGGAGGGCAGAAGAAAAAAATCCTAGAGTAACTGAGATGGACACAGACACAAAGACAGAAAAATGAACAGAGAGAAACAGAAAGAGCTAGAAACAGAAATCAGATCAATCCAGGGGAAACAGCTCACAAGACAGAAAGGCAACAAACGCAGAGGACACTCAGGATACAGTTGGAGGGACCAGGTCAGGGTCTGGGACATTAAGCTCCTACCCGGTGCCAGGTGCTGCACTAAAAGCAATGAAAGGCAGGAAAGAGTCCCTGCTTTTGAGCTCCCGAAATCTCACGAGGGGAGCCACACACCAACGACAAGCCACCAACAGGGAAATTGGAGGTGATATCAGAGGCAAGGCACTAGCACTAGTGAAGGGAGATGGGGAAGGCTTCTTACAGAAGTTGGAACGTCAGCTGGGACTTGAAGGGAAGCAGGAGACCCAGGAAGTGGTGATAAGGAGGGAGAAGGACATGGTGGTGCAGCTTGCAAACAACCTTAGGACAACGATCCTTTTTTTTTTTTTTGTGAGGCAACTGGGGCTAAGTGACTTGCCAGAGTCACACAGCTAGTGAGTGCCATGTGTCTGATGCCAGATTTGAACTCAGGTCCTCCTGAGTCCAAGGCCAGTGCTCTATCCACTGAGCCACCTAGCTGCCCCAGAACACTGATCTTTACTGCTCAAAGAAACCTTGGACTGCAGAACAACCCAAAGGGAGAAGAACTAGGCTCCATTCTACTTCTAGCTCCATTTGCCTTTCTGTGCCTCAGTTTCCCTATCTGCAAAATGAGAGATGTGTTCTAAAATTTTGATCTCAAAGGTCCCTCCCCACTCTCAGGTTCCAGGATTCTATACCTTGATCTCTAATATAAGACCTGAGGCTTAATCATCGTGTGACCCTGACACACTGCAGCTTCTCTATATGGGGAAGACAAGTTACAAGTTTCAGGCCAACTTCACCGGGTTTTTGTGGGGATGCAAGGAGGTAATATTTGCACAAGACTATGTGTGTTAGGAGAATCAAAGGAGCTAATTAATGTATGTGGAAAAGGGCTACATAAGTGTTACCTGCTTTCATTCTTATTATCACCAAGAGAGTTCTTATCATAGATCCTGTTAATGTGATATTGGAAACATTTGTTGTTTTATTAATGACATCACATTTCTACACATTTCCTAACAGCTCTGTGAGGGAGTTAGAACAAGTATGAGGTAGCTGGAAGGAACAGTAGAGGGTTGGGCTCAGGGTCAGGAAGACCTGAGTTCAAATTCTGATTCAGACTCTTGTGTAACAATGGCTTTTACTGGTCTCAGTCTCAGTTTGTTCATCTGTAAGATGGAGATAATAATGGCACCAACCTCCCAGGTCTTTTGTGAGCATCCAATGAGATATAAAGTGCTTTGCAACCCTTAAGTGCTATATAAATGTAGCTATTATTATTGCCACTTTTCAGAAGAAACAAAGGCTTGGGGAGGGGATGGGACCTCTCTGGATCACAGAGTCTCAGAACTGGAAGAAACTTCTGGGGCTATCTCTTTTAACCAATGAATGAAAAAGAATCTTCCCTTAGAACATACCCAATAAGGAGTCCTCTAGCTTCTTCTTGAATACTTGGTGGGGAGGGGTGGTCAGAGGACTCACTACTTCTCAAGGTAGCCCATTTCACTTTGGGACAGCTTTCATTGTCAGCAAGTTTCCCCTGACCAGTAAAAACAAAGACAAAAACAAACAAACAAACAAACAAAAACCAACCTGTATCCTTCTCAAACAAACTGCTCAGTCAAACCTCTTCTGTCTTCCACTGGTGAAGTTGACTTCTTCAGCCCAAGTGTAAACTTTTACATTTATCCCTTGTTCATTTCAGCTGATGAGATTCAACCCCATTGGTCTAGCTGGTCAATATCTTTTTGGATGTTGACTCTGTTCTGCTGTGTGTTGGCCATCCCTTCCCTGAAAACTGAGCAAGCATACCATCTTTGCCTTTAATCTGAATTGTCAAGAAAAATATGACTTCACAAGGGTCACACATCCAGTTTGTGTCAGAGCCAGGAATGAGAATAGGGATTAAAAGTCATTTGAGACCTTGGCTTCTCAGAGACTATGGCAGGACATCAAAAAAAGCCTGACCAATCCTGCCAAGCTGGGAAAGCCTTGAGCCCAAGCCCACCAGTAACCCCTCTGAGTGTGGAGAGGCTTGTCAAAGTCAGAGGGTGGCCAGAAGGGGCTGAGTTCTCCGGGAAAACTGGAAGAGAACACTTTGATCCTGGAGGATCATTAGAGCTGGGCAGCTCTTGGAGAATATATCTGTAGAGGGTTTCTCCATAGGCTGTGCCTATACTGAGCCTGGAAGGAAGAAAAGTATTCTTCAGGGCACAGATAAGGATGTGGGGGATGACCCCTGGGTTTGCAATGATCTGGAGGAAGCTGAGGAAGCTCTCCTCACCCAATCAAGCTGGAAATGTGGAAGGGGCATTGGAAAAACAGGCAGAAAAGGGCAGCCCTCCAAGCTGCCTCTATAAAAGTCTCAAACGACTTTTAATCCCTATTCTTATTCCTGGCTCTGACACAAACTGGATTGTGGCCCTCGTGAAGTCATATTTTTCTCAATAATTCAGATTAAAGACAAAGATGTCATGCTCGCTCAATTTTCAGTGAAGGGATGGCCAACACGCAGCCACAGATCAGCTGTGTGACCCTAGACAAATCACATAGTCTCTCTGCAAAAATTGGGGTTTTGTGGAAAGAACACAGAATCTAGAGTCAAAAGGACTTGGGTTTGAACCCCAGATCTGCCATTTAATGACATGAGACCTCAAGCAATTCACATAACCTCTCTAGGCCTCAGTTTCTTCATCTGTAAAATGAGGGGGTTGGGCCTGAAGACTCTGAGGTCCATTCCTTTGCTTGCTGCCACAGGAAAATTCAAATGTCGTTGTGTATGGAGAGTACTTTGTGAGCCTTCAGACTCTATAGGGTCTTTTAGCTGGCTGGGTAGTCAGTGTTTTACCCTCTAGGTAATAGGGAGCCACCAGATAGGAGAGGGAAGATCAGGAGAATTACTTTGACAAATATGTGGAGAAAGAAGAAGATAGAGGGCAGAGGCCCTATCAAGTGCTCCAGAGGCTGAGAGCTGAGAAAAAGCCATTGTATTTGGTAATGAGAAGGCCATTGGTACCCATGAAAAAAGGCAGTTTCAGGAGACTGGTGGGAATAGAAGCAGATTGTTGATGACAGAGTGAGTTGAGATCTCTATGTTAGGAGGGGAATGGAGGTTGGGGAGATCATGCTAGGGGAAGGAGAAAGAGTATGAGGACTAAGAGAGGTCACGAATGGGCACTTGTAGCAAGGAGTCAATGACTTAACAGCCCAAAAGGGCATGTTGGGGAGTGGGGAATATAGCAGGATAAAAGGTGGAAGATAAGAGTTGTGGGAGTGGGGAGTAGGGTGTCTGGATACTCCACCCCAGTAAGTCCCCAACACGCCATGGCTGGAGCCTAAGAATGGAAGATGTGAGCAGTTGTTAACCCTTCAACAGCATATTGGAATGCGACCCGAGCCTTCATGATCCTGGCTGCCCTCTGCTGCTTTGCGGGAATCGTCATTGGGATCTTGGCCTTTGCCCAGCTGCCCACCTTCCACCGCCTCACGCGCCCCTTCTCAGCAGGCATCATGTTCTTTATTTCCAGTAAGTGACCACCCTCCTCCCTCCTCCCCTCTCCTATCCAGCATTTGCCTGGCCTTAGGCCCTCCCCCAACTGGGCCTGGACCCACTTAAATCAGTGGGAACCTAGGAACAACAATGACCCTTTATCAGTCCTTATTCGCATGCCATCCCCCTCCCCAACTCTCACCTCAGTCCATCTGTGAACCTAGAATCAGAGATCCTAGTTTTAGCCCTGAATCTAGCCCCATCTCTTCATCCTTTATCACTATCCACAAACCCATCACCAATCCCATTGCCATCCCCATTCTTAAGCATATTCTCTGACACCAACTCCAGCTCCATGGATATAGAGCTGGTGACCCCGGGTCCATGCCCTCATCCTCTTTCCCCATCCCTAACTGCATTCCTAACCACCTCTCCATCCCCCGTCTTCAACCCCTACCCTACTCCATCCTTGCTCCCAACTGCATCCCAGTACCCACCCTAGTACCTATTGTCATATTTACTCTCATCCTCCTTCCCCACCCCAATTTCTACCCTAACATTTCCCATTTGCACCCCATCCCCACTTCCATCTTTCCCCTGGGCCTCTGTCTGTGTCTCAGCTCTCTTCGTCCTTCTCGCCATGGCCATCTACACTGGAGTCACCGTCAGCTTCCTAGGCCGGCGCTTTGGTGACTGGCGTTTCTCCTGGTCCTACATTCTGGGTTGGGTGTCTCTGCTTATGACCTTCTTTGCAGGTAATGGTGGACCAGGCTGAGAGAGGAGCTATCAGTCAGGATTTGTGGGAGGGACTATGGTGAATTGGTGGGGGTGAGGAGGGCCTGGATCCTTGGCCTGGCTTTCCTCATAACCTCTATCTTTGTAGGAATATTTTACATGTGTGCCTATCGAATGCACGAATGTCGCCGCCTGTCTGGGCCTCGCTGAGTCCTAGCATCCTCTATGGAGCCCTGGATACTCCCTGTCCCTGACCCCAACAACAAACTGCCCCCCACCCTCCCATTCACACTGGGATCTGACATCAATGAAGGCTGAAGGAACAGGAAGTCTGGGTCCCTGAAGGGGTGGGAGTAGGGTGGTCCGGATGCTTGAGTCTCTGAGGGGAGTAGAGCTGGGTCTAGCAGAGTCAGGATACCTGGATCTGGGGGAGGGGTGAGAGCTGGGGCTCAGACACCTGAGCCCCTTGTGGGCCAGCCATAGGAGCTGGATATCTGGGCTACCAAAGAATTTTGGGACAGGAGTCTGAATGTCTGGGAGCTAGATTGAGGCAGGGGGGAGGGAAGAATGGAAAGGATTGTTCTGACCTCTAATAAAACTACTGTGAAGCCCACTTGTGGTCTCTGAGATCAATATTTATCCTAGTGTTTATTGGGGTCCCTGAGGAAGTGAGGCTGAGAAGATGAAGATGCCTCAGTCCCTAAGGAGCTAGCATCTGGGAGTCAGGAAACCCGGATGTCTGACAGGGCAGGCGTGGGGTTTGGGATGCCTGGTTCTTTGAGAGAGAGGCTGAGGATCAAGATATCTGTGCCTACGAATGGGGCTGGGGAGGATTGAGGAACTAAGACGCCCAAGTCACTGAAAGGGTGGGGGCTGGGTAACAGAGTTCCGTGGCAGTTGAGGGAGGTGTCTGGGGAGGTATGGGGTCATAACCATCATTAAGGCGGTGCTGAGCCAGGCCATCCAAGATGCATCTCAACTTGCTCCCCAGTACCCCTGGTATCCTTTTCCTCAAGAGTGTGGCCCTCCTGGCCATGTCATTCTTCGTCCCGTACTGGGCTCTCTTCTACCACCACGAACATGAGTTCATGGTGTTTGCCAGCCCATGGATCATATGTGTGAGAAAACAGTGTAAGATCATCAAGAACATTGGTAAGGCCTCCCAGACCCCCATCTTCACCTCTGCATTCTCAGCCTCCTGCTCCTGCTGCCTCTGAACCTGTCACCTTCAATCTAGGACTCCCTCTCCTCCCCTTCCCCTCATGTGTGAGAGTTATCTAGTCTTGGACTGTAATTGGTGACATATGTCTTCCAACTTTCAACATCTCACCTATGATGGGTGACTTCTAACCTGCAACAAGTGGCATGGGATAGGTGCTAATCTCTGCCCTCACAAACTGACCCTTTGCCTTTAATATCTGACTACTTATTGCTTAATGCCTGTCCAATAATTTCTTTTCTCTTTTCTTTTTTTTTGGGGGGGGACAATGGGGGTTAAATGACTTGCCCAGGGTCACACAGCTAGTAAGTGTTCTGTATCTGAGGCCAGAATTAAACTCAAGTCCTCCTGAATCCAGGGCCGGTGCTCTATCCACTGCGCCACCTAGCTGCCCCCCCATGTCCAACAATTTCTTGCCAATAATTGACCCAAATGCCCCCTGATTCATAACCTCTGATCCCCCCTAGCACCCACCTCCTCAGGATCTAACCCCTCTGGGACCTCTGTCTCTTAGTCATCGAATCCACCTCATGACCAGTTCCTTGCCCAGAGACATAGCCAGGTGGGTTGATGAGGATCAGCTAGGTGTTAGAGGATGAGATGAAGGTTCATTGTACTGGGAAAAACTAAAGGTGATTGGTGAGGTGGGTTGATCCTTGACAAGGAGTGTCTGAGGCAAGTTTCCAATTCAGATCTTCCTGACTCCAAGACTCCCCACTCAAGTCACTAACTGAGAGCTTTCATTATATCAGAACCTTTTGAGGAGCCCAGGGTTATCTCCATGTCATGACTAGCTTTAAGTCCATATAAGGGAAGACAAAAGAGGGAAGCAACATTTATTAAGCACCTACTATATGTCAGGCTCTGTGCTTATTGCTTTCAAATATAATTTTGTTGGATCCTCTCAACAACCTTGAAGGGGAGTGCTGCTATGATCCCACATTTTATGGTTAGAAAAACTAAGGCTGAAAGAGGTTAAGTAACTTGTCAGCCCAAAGTCATACATCCAATGAGTGTTGGGTCAAATCTGAATTCATCTCTTCCTCACTCTAGGTCCAGTTCTCCATCCAGTGCTTAATCCTAGTGGCAAAAGTAATAAGATCAAAAGAGATATTAAAACTAAATACTTTGGGGGAAATTTGAGGAAGGAAAGGACACTTCTAGTTGAGGGGAGATGGGGAGACAGTGGGGAAGGATTACAGAGTGACTACAGACTTGGACCTTAAAGATGAGGGGGGAACATATTTTTGTTGTAGGAGATGGACTACATGCGTGCAACAAGCACAGGAAAAGATCAAGGACCAATGATGAGTCCAGTTAAGATGAACTTGGAGTTTGTGAAGAAGAGTATGAAATAAGGCAGGTGGGAGCTTGATTGTAAAGGGTCTTAAAGAACGAGGCTGAACAGTTTATATTTTATCCTAGAAGTGAGTGGGAGAAACTGAAGGCATCTGAGCAGAGGAACACAGGTTTTAGAGCTACAAGTGAATTAAGAGATTATCAAGCACCATCAGGTAACCTGCCTTAGGTCACACAGGTAATAAGCAGCAGGGCTAGGAACAAGAAGCAGGGCTTCTTTTTTATTTTATTTTTTAGATAATATTTTATTTTTCCCAATTGCATGTAAAATATTGTTAACATTTTTAAAAATTTTGAGTTCCAAATTCTCTCCCTCTCTTCCTCCTCTCCCCTGCCCCCTCCATGAGATGACAAGTAATGGAATATAGGTTATACATGTGCAATCATGCAAAACATACATTCATATTGTCCACATTTGTGAAAGAAAACACAAACAAACATGAAAAAAGTAAAGTGAAAAATAGTATGCTTTGATCTGCATTCAGACTCCATCAGTACTTTCTCTGGATGTGTATAGCATTTTTCATCATGGATATGTTAAGATTGTCTTGGAACATTGTTTTGCTGAGAAGAGCTAAGTCAGTCATAGTTGATCATCATACAACGTTGCTGTTACTGTATACAATGTTCTCCTGGTTCTGCTCACTTCACTTTGCATCAGTTTGTGTAAGTCTTTCCAGGTTTATCTGAAAGCATCCTACATGTGTGTGTGTGTGTGTGTGTATGTGTGTGTATGTATATGTATGTATATATGTATGTGTGTATACATACATATGTCTGTATGTGTGTATGCATATACACATATCAACATATGCTTACCTTATAGCACAATAGTATTCCATTACAATAATATAGCAAAACTTATTCATCCATTCCCTAATTAATAGGCATCCCCTCAGTTTCCAATTCTTTGCTACCATAAAAAAAGCTGTTATAAATATTTTTGTAGAAATTGATCCTTTTCGGAGGCGGTGGTCAAAAGCAAAACACGAGTGAAGAGGGGAAAGGAAAAAGCAGAAAGAAAAGCATAAATGGGGGGGGAAGGATGGAGAAAAAGACACAGATAGTAATCATAACTGTGAATGTGAATGGGATGAACTCTCCTATAAAACGGAAATGGATTGCAGAATGGATTAAAAACCATAATCCTACAATATGTTGTTTACAGGAAACACATTTGAAAAAGAGTGACACATACAGGGTAAAGGTAAAAGGCTGGAGCAGAATATATTATGTGTCAGCCGAAGTGAAAAAAGCAGGGGTAGCAATCCTGATCTCAGATAAAGCAAAAGCAAAAATAGATCTAATCAAAAGAGATAAGGAAGGAAACTACATCCTGCTAAAAGGCACCATAGAGAGTGAAGTAATATCATTACTAAACATATGTGCACCAAATGGTATAGCATCCAAATTCTTAGAGGAGAAGTTCAGGGAGTTACAGGAAGAAACAGACAGCAAAACTATACTAGTGGGGGACCTGAACCTCCCCCTCTCAGCACTAGATAAGTCTAACCACAAAATAAACAAGATAGAAGTCAAGGAGGTGAATATAAAATTAGAAAAGTTAGGTATGATAGACCTCTGGAGAAAACTGAATGGGAATAGAAAGGAATATATTTTTTTCTCAGCAGTATATGGCACATAAACAAAAAGTGACCATGTACTAGAGCATAAAAACCTCACAATCCAATGCAGAAAGCAGAAATATTAAATGCATCCTTTTCAGATCATGATGCAATAAAAATTATATGTAATAAAGGGCCATGGAAAGATAGACTAAAAAATAATTGGAAACTAAATAATCTAATCCTAAAAAATGATTGGGTCAAACAACAAATCATAGAAACAATCAATAATTTCATTCAAGAGAATGACAATAATGAGACAACATACCAAAACCTATGGGATGCAGTGAAAGCAGTTCTTAGGGGAAGTTTTATATCTCTAAATGCTTACATAAATAAAATAGAAAAAGAGGAGATTAATGAATTGGGCATACAACTAAAAAAACTAGAAAAAGAACAAATTAAAAATCCTCAACTAAACACTCAAATTAGAAATATTGAAAACCAAAGGAAAAATTAATAAAATTGAAATTAAGAAAACTATTGAACTAATAAAACTAAGAGCTGGTTTTATGAAAAAAAACCAATAAAATAGATAAGCCTTTGGTTAACTTAAAAAAAAGAAGAAAACCAAATTACTAGTATCAAGAATGAAAAGGGCAAAGCTACCACCAAGGAAGAGGAAATTAAAACAATAATTAGGAATTATTTTGCCCAACTATATGCCAACAAATTTGACAATCTTAGTGAAATGGATACATATTTACAAAAATATAAATTGCCCAGATTAACCAAAGAGGAAGTAAAATACTTAAATAACCCCATCTCAGAAAAAGAAATTGAACAAGCCATTGATGAACTCCCTAGGAAAAAATCTCCAGGGCCAGATGGATTTACATGGGAATTCTATCAAACATTTAAAGAACAATTAATTCCAATACTATATAGACTATTTGGGAAAATAGGTGAAGAAGGAGTCTTACCAAATTCTTTTTATGATACAAATATGGTGTTGATACCTAAACCAGGAAGAGTCAAAATAGAGAAAGAAAATTATAGACCAATTTCTCTAATGAATATAGATGCAAAAATTTTAAACAAAATACTAGCAATAGATTGCAGCAACTTATCACAAGAATAATACACTATGACCAGGTAGGATTTATACCAGGAATGCAGGGTTGGTTCAATATTAGGAAAACTATCAGCATCATTGAGCATATCAACACAAAACCAACAGAAACCACATCATCTCAATAGATGCAGAAAAAGCTTTTGATAAAATACAACACCCATTCCTATTAAAAACACTAGAAAGCATAGGTATAAATGGAGTCTTCCTTAAAATAATAAATAGCATATTATCTAAAACCTTCAGCAAGCATTATATGTAATGGGACAGGCTAGAAGCATTTCCAATAAGATCGGGGGTGAAACAAGGATGTCCATTATCACCACTGTTATTCAATATTGTACTGGAAACCTTAGCTTTAGCAATAAGAGAAGAAAAAGAAATTGAAGGCATTAGAATAGGCAAAGAAGAAACAAAGCTATCACTCTTTGCAGATGACATGATGATATACTTAGAGAATCCTAGAGAATCAAGTAAAAAACTACTTGAAATAATAAACAACTTTAGCAAAGTTGCAGGCTATAAAATAAACCCACATAAATCATCAGCATTTCTATATATTACCAACAAAGCCCAACAGCAAGAGATAGAAAGAGAAATCCCATTTAAACTTACTGTAGACATTATAAAATATTTAGGAGTCTACCTCCTGAAACAAACCCAGGAACTCTATGAACACAATTACAAAACACTTTTCACACAAATAAAATCAGATCTAAATAATTGGAAAAACATCAGTTGCTCATGGGTAGGCCGAGCTAATATAATAAAAATGACAATCCTACCTAAGCTAATTTACTTATTCAGTGCCATACCAATCAAACTACCAAGAATTATTTTATAGAGTTAGAAAAATAATAACAAGATTCATTTGGAA